AATAACTAAAAAAGAAGAGGAATGTAATTATATATAGTGCAAGTTTATGTACAAGGACTTTAATAATAGGTACCTGGAAGCAAAGAAGAGAGGCCTGAGCGTGCTATGTTATCAAAAGACAACTATAAAGATGAAAGTAAATATAGCTGTGGAAAAGGTAAAAGCAAGAGGTATTTCCAACAAAAACCAGAAGGGTGCAAGAATACTGTGTACAAATCTCTCACCTACTTTTCAAGAAAGATGCATTCAACCTGGAAGATGAGCAGAGAATGGAGAGCCCATAATGCAGAAGGAAACATTTCTAAATCCTTTCTAGCTCTGACAAAATTATGTAGTTCACATGAAGCAAAGCAGTACAGTATAGAGATACTAACTTCAGCAATAGGGTAGCCATATTAATACATCCAGACTAGATCTAATTTTACCTGCACAATAGAAAAATCAAGATATTTGAACTAGAAGGATCACTGACCCTTATTTATTTTCCCTGTCTTTCAGTAGGAATCTTATTGACCCCTAGAAACACATTTCAGTTTTGACATCTCTGATGCTTGTAATTTTTTCTTTCCTGTGTAACTTGTCCTTACAGTTCCTATGGAAAGTAGTCCATATAACTTTGGTGTGCTGTCTGCACAAAAGTATCTCATCCTAAATGTGTAGTTTAATTCAGCGTGCCATAACCTTTCCATGCTTATTCATCTATAATAATATATTCCTTAAAGACTTCTTGTGATGTTTCATGTATTTGGGGAATATAAATTAAAAAAAAAACCAAAAAACAAACCACACTTTTCAAGACCTATAACTACTTTTATAAATAGTCTCCTGATAGCATTCACAAAATGCAAGCTTTAATCAATGATAATTATGTATTTTACAATCAGTATTTGATCCAGAACATTAAAAGCTGAAATTTCCTTATTTTACCTAAGGTATTTCTATTTATTTTAATTTAAGTTTAATTCCCATTATTATGTAGCCTATTATGAACCCTGTTCACTTTCATGTTTTATCTTCTTGCTAGCGTTTATTATTACTACTAGATCACTTGCTTAATTTTTATTCTATTTCTGCTCCATCAAGCACATACTTTTATAATTTATTTGTTCAGTTCAAGTGCTTGAGGTTTTGTTTTGAGATACTGAATTCCATTTAGGACTCATTTTCTCCCTTCCTCAATCAATTGATAATAGTCTGAAATTTATTGACTTCTTCAGCTGTATCAATAGCATTTTCTGTTTAGTAGTGTCAGCAAAGTGTAGATACCCAGCAAAATCTTGCTCTCACTATAGAAACTTACACATTAATATAGTCCTGGTACTGAACTGAGACTGAATGACCCTAATGCGTTAGCTCTACTCCGGCTTGAGACGATAAACCAAAGTCTTCTATACCTTTCTTCAATCCCAATAAACTCTTAAAACCTTGATAAATGTTTCTGCTGATCTTTATGATAAAGTTCAGGGAAATCAACACACATACTCTTAAGTTTATATATAAACTTCTTAGGGAACTTTGATTTGTGCCATAAATTCTGTGTCCTGTATATCAGTGTCAAGAAATTCCATTTTATAATACATTCTAATGTTTTCCCTTGTATTTATGGTTAAAAAATAAAATGGTGGTTATAAACAAGGCAAAGACAAGAAGGAAAATAAGAAAAAAATATTTTACTTGTCTCAGCAAAACATAACCAAGAGCCAGTCTGCTCCTTCTGCAACTTCAACAATAACCAGGTAGGGTCTTCCATCCCCACTTAAAAAAACAAAGGCTCTAAAAACATATAGTCATCCTGCCTACTACACAAACTAGTTCTTCTTTGAGACCTCTTTACATAAAATTATTACTGGAATGCAAGTTTGGGCTACTGAAGTCTTGATCCAGTAACATGAATCTGTGGATAATTTTTGGAGAAACCTGTTTCACAATAATGTTATTTTCATCAAAGTCCAATTCATAATACCAGCATGTATTGATTTCACAATTTTTTTTTCCTATTTGCCTTCTGCATATACAGCTGAAATTCAAGAAGAATGCGTATCAACCACAAATGCCAATGACATTTAATAGCTGTGCTCATTTCAAAGCTGCAAAATCAATCATCTTCAGTGATCTCCTCCTTCTTCATCTCTTTGTCACTTCAGGCATTCAAGAGTAATGGAAAATGGACCACTGATAGCAGACCTCAGTCTAGGGCAAGCTAACATGCAAAAAAATGCTGATGCTGTTGTCCCACCTACTTGATTTAAGGCTAGGTTTTGCTATCACTATTTGTCTTGAATGTTTTTCAAAGGAATAGTCAACCCTCCTTTCACAAATATGGCATTTCAACTCCAACTGTTCATTAGAGCCCATTACTTGTGATGCTGTAACTGACCAACGCACCATTAATCCAGTGCAATGACTTTTCTGAAAGATATGTTTTATTATCATCAAAGAGACCAAAATGCTAAAAATAAAACAAAAACAAAGGACATGGAGGGCGAAATGCTAATGTGATTTTTCAGATTTTTTTTTTTAAAGATATTTGCTTTTTATCATAGTCATAAGGAGGGCATAATTGTCATATTAATCCTTGGTCTGCCAAGAAATACATCTCTTTCCATTTCCAAAGGTGACAGAAAACCTGCCCTCCATCTAGACAGTATAGTTTCATGAATAATTGGTTTGCACATTCAATCTGATAGTGGAAAGATGAATATGAATATCCTGCTGATCTTAAATGTAAAATGAAAAAGCTAAATCTGCTTCCAGGTTAAGCGTGTTTGGTTTTTTTTTTTTTTAATAGTTCCATTGTCTCACATTCCTTCTGGTAAAACTTCATCATTTATTCAGTAACTCAGGCGTCTCCAATGCATTAATTGTGTAGACTGTAACCTAACAGACAGCCCTTGTTTTGTGAGTATAATATTCCTGGCACACACTGTGATTATCTAGCTTCTAAATAAGAAAGAAGGAAGACCTGAAAGCAGAATCAATTGATTAATGTAAAAATTAAACACCACATTTGAATGAGTGTCTTTTATTATCACTGCCCCATGCTATGTAAGGAGTTGTGCTGTCACCACATTTAAAAGTTTTATAAAATATTTTAAATAAAATTTTAAAGTCCATATGCAAAATGTTACAGTTTCAAAGCATATCATCAATAGTAATTCATTCACAATCCCAAGACACAGATAAGCAACTGTTCCTGCTTATCTTCTGGTTGTTCTATCCTTAGTGTACACCTAACACAGACTGGTATCATTCTTAGCTGACAACTAGCAAACAGACTATGCGTCAATTTTACAATGTGGAAGACAATGAGAGAGCATTTTCTCTGAGATTAATACACTATGTCTTTTCCTAAAGTAAATTAGGCAATGTAGGGCTTTTGTTTGTCTAAAAAAAAATTAGGGTTCTAATATCACACTAACAGAGAACACAGAGAGAAAAAAAATGAGGAGGCAAGGCAATGAAGTTAAGCTGATTTAATCAAGATCAGAAGCTGATCTGAGACCTTGAAATGAACTTCTCTCAATGAAAATGGTCTGTAAACTAGCATTGTACTACAGTACAGCGAATATTTCACTTCTTAAAGTGTGGTTCAAAATTTCCTTTTGTTCAAACACTTGTATGTATTATGAATGCTGAAGAAATATTCCTGAAAGAAGCAGCATTTACTCCTTTGTAATACAAACACACAGCGCTCATATAATTTCCATACTGACAGTAAAATATTTACATTTTCCACAGGAACCACAAAATTAACTTACGGTCTGGTCTTATGCTACTATTCCAGTGCGACATGGTGACTAAGCTATTCCTCTCATATGAAGCTATAGCTTTTAACAAAGCCATTTTCTTGTGTAGAAAAGAAACTCTACCTGCAGTAGGACAGATGAAGAGGTGCATCATCTATATAACAGGGTTAAATAATTTATTCCCTATTATAGTATATAAAAGAAAAAATTGTTGCTACCTCCTCTTTCAACTTCAGAAGAAACAAGGTCCTGCTTTGGTGCATTAGTCTAGCTATTTAATGAGAAGCAGAATATATACTTTTCCTCCTTTTTTTTCAGTCTGTCTATATGTCCCAGAATTTTCACATTGTTTGCTGAAACCGTATTAACGGTAAGCAACTTCAGCTTTCTCATTATGCTTTTCTTACGACAGCCATGGAAGGACTCAGTATAATCTCATCACCATGTATTCATCAGACTACTAAAAGCTCTGGCATAGATTTCTTTTGGCCTACCGAGTATTAATTTAAACCACTACAGCCATTGATGTGCAAAGTTTAGGTGTCTCCTTTTAGCAGGACTAAATGCTCTTTTGAATACAAAAATCACTGCATTAAATTAGTCCTTAATGGAAAAGTTGGAGCATCGCTGGCTGAGACTATTGGGAAACAGTCAGTAAGCGCTGAAGAATAATAGGAGCAGTGGAGAGAGAACAGCAGCAACAGCAAAGGAGTCTGTGGAGCGGTGTGGAGCAATGATTGCACAGGAATGGCAGCACAGGGTCAGGCGGAGGACCCATCCAATCCAATCTTCTGTCTCCACCAGCAGCTACAAGTAGATATCCAGGGAAAGTAAGAACAGCAACATATGGTCCTTCCTAAGTATCAACATTCAAATTCACATGTTTAAATAAGGAAAATGATGACTAATGAGGCCATAAATCTTTCATGGTTTATGAAAACAACACAGTCCAGAAATTTGTGTAACAAAGTACTTAGTCAAGATATACTTTGTAAAAACCCAAAATGTCATTTTCTGAAGTTCCTCACATTGCCATAACAACTGCCAATGCTGAATGAAATCAAACAATATTGCGGGAGAGCAGCGTATTGGACTGCCAATTACAAAACTAGCAAACCTAAATCCCGATCATGCAAATAGATCAATGAGGGGTTTCTCACATAAGTCAAATTGACAATTGGGACCAAAGCTGAAAAAAATAGTTACCCAAGCAACAATTCTCCAATCCAAACATGTATTTGTTTTTGGACACAGGCTTAAGAAAGAATTGGAAAATTGCAAAGATGATGATTGGGAAAGTATCTGCGAGACTCTTCGAACAGAAATTGAAATTCTGCAAATGGTATGCCATTTTCATTATGTATTTTAAGTGTTTGATAATTTTAGTTTTAAAAGGTGTAATTTAAGATGATTAGCAGCGTTTTTACATAAGCAGTTTTATATACTACGTACACAGCCAAACATCCTTGTGTTGCAGGTGCACTCCAATTCTCCAATTGTTTTAGCCTATTATTTCCAAATGTCCAGGAATATAATTTCTCACAGAAAAGGGAAGCACAGAAAATAAAGATACGTTTTTAGCACAAGAAAGACCTATTTGGGGGACTAGTACTAATCATTAGTTTCTTGAAAGCTGCAAAAGATTATGCATTTAGGAGCTACATTAATATTTACCTCCAGCTGTCAGTTAAATGGAAGATGGGAATATGGAGAAATAGGATGATAATAGCATCCTTTTATGTAATATTTTATTTTGCCCACTCACAAAATCCTTACAAAAACTTATTAAAGTGTGTTTTTTCTCTAAATGTCAATCTTGACTTCAAATTTCTTGATTGTCAGTCTGTGTAACAATACAAAGACCAAAAATATTTTCAAGTCCCATTTTTGGAAATAAAGGGGTTTTAAAGGTTCATTCCAGAGCCCATGATTGAGCTGTATGAAGATGCAGCTGCCACCAGCATCAGCAGCAGAATAACAGCCATGGGAAATTTGTATTACTCACTTTTATGATCAGTTTTAAGTTTCTGTTGGAGGAATGTAACTTACTTGTTTATCCATTAATTTTATCATGCTTGTCAAACTTCAGAGACAAAAAAAGCAGCTCAATATTTAAAAACTTCTCTGTAAAGAACACACTGAACTCATTAGATTTTATTTTCTGTAATTCAATTCTTTCTCTTTTCCAGCATCTATCACAAAAAAAGTCATCAGACAAGTAAATAACATGTGGCATATGATATGGAGTGTCACAGAAGGTAGTCTTTGAATTTTAAAACCATTTTACTTGGGCTGTATCAGGTTTGCTTCTATTTTTTAGTTTGATTAAACCACAGGTTGTATCTGCCTTTACTTTTCATTGAAATAAAATTTTATTGATTTAAAAGTGGTGGGGGTTTTGTGGTTTATCCTCAAGTTCAACAGCTATCCATCTTTAGTTTCCTCTTTGTTGCCCATGAATGGATGGTACGTAGTCCACTACACGTACAGCTGAGTTCCTATATTACTAGCTCTATTCTCTATCTACTATTTTTAAGAACGAACGCTCTCCTATTTTTAAGGTAATGATGTGGTCTTATTTGAGAGGAAGACTGCTATTATCATCAAGAAATACTTAACAGGAGCTGCGGCTATCTAGTTTATACCTTGACAATGCAATTCTGTAACAAGCTCTCTGAAACAGCTCAACTCCAGCAATACTGCATGATCATCCAGAATAGTTTCCAAATCTACTGAACAATAGATGCCCCCATTGATGGTAAGCCAGTCCGTCACTTAACACTTGTCTTCTGCTTACATGAGAAGTCTTCTTTTCTTCCTCTCCCACAACCCAGAAAATCCTGAGTGCTAGGTTCAGCACTTGACAGCAAAGATAAAACCGTATTCTAAATGAAAAGTCCACATTTCTAGAGAATTGGTGAAGAATTTCCATTGAATAAGGAACCCTATTCATTAAGCATGTAGGACGTATAACTGCTACAACAGTTCCCAACCCCACAGCAGGAACTGACTTTATGATTCAGGTGCTTACAATAGGACCATGTAAAAACTTTCACTCTGTTCAGCCTCAGTCCACTCTGTGGTCATCGTCTCATCACATCCAACTGTGTGTGCAAATAATTTTCAATCTGCTTCCCACCTGGGGGGTGGGATGGATAATTGCTCTTCACTAGTTTTTGTACACCCAGAGCTCTCCAAGCTACAGAGGGTGTCTGTCACACATAAAACTGCAAAAGATGATTTATTAAGAAGGGAGGAATAACTCACTTCTGGAAGCTGACCAAATTCTGCCTGCAATGGAGAAAGTTTTTTCCTCTTGGGACACAACTGCAGTTTGAAGCCTGGCAAAGCTTGACCTGCAGCACTGGTATCAAAGAGTATTCTGATCCACAGGGTTAACTAGTGTAATTCCAAGAGGTTGGAATTATCATTCTTAATAACCAGTACTGTTGGAGCTGACATACTTATAAGGTTTTTTTCTGTCTCTTCCCTAAGTGCAATCTTCTTAGGATGTGCTTAATTTTAAGCAACTTAGTCCCTCTGACTTCTATGGGACCATCTGATTCTTAAAGTTAGGTAACTACTGCTTGTGGGTTGTGATCAAATCCAGGGCATGCTGCAAAATGATGCAGTTGCACAGCAGAGTGTCTACAGACCGCTACAGCAGTACTATTTCTGGGTTTAATTGCTGGAAACATTTATGGTTTGGATTTCCTAGGATGGCTGAGTTTATCCTGATCATTTCATTCATTTAAAAGAGCTTGCTTATGTTAAGTGTATTGGTTAATCAACCAGGAAAAACTTATTTTTAAACGTTGGGTTTATCCACTTGCAGCTGCTTTTATTTACAAGAATCCTTGCATCTCTTTTGCAATTGTCTTATATTTATATAGTTGTTCAGTCCATATATATTAAATACTCTAATATGACACAAAACAGAATTCATTGGCTTATACCAGCATTCTACATATACATTTCAGGTAAGTGGTATGAGCAATAGCATCCAATAACTATCAACTAATAATATAAACTAATGTCCCTAACTCACCTGAAAAAACATCTGGGGAAAAGAAATATGGTAAGCCCTTTTCAGAGATACTTCAGATTCCAGGAAACTAGTTGCAACTTCAGGGTTTTGGTTTTTGTTTGGGTTTTTTTTGTGGGGGAGGTATTTTGCTTTTAATGGCTGTGAAGGTCTAAGTCTTGATTATTGTAGTAGAATTACAGCATAAATATAGCAAAATTCGTAATAACTCAAATGGCTAAAGCTCTCAGAATCAATACAACAACAAAACAAGAATAAAACTCACCAAAAAATGTGAAACAGAAATCAATACAAATCGTATTGGGCTAAACAAATCCCTCAACAACTCTGAAAAAAATATATAATACCAGACTAAACCAGCTGTTGCAGGGTGAATGTAAAATATACTAATTTCTCCAAGTATAAAAATACATTTGCACTACTGTCTTATGAATAATGTAATTTGGGACAAATATAATATTTCTGTTTGGAAGACTGAAAGTAAAAATTAAGCAAAAGTTTGTGTTTTATGAGTTTTCTTTAAAAGTCTCAAACCAGGGGTGAGCAATCTTAAATAATGAGTGCCGAAGAACCAAATCTTCTGTCATGTTTAATAAATATGTTAAAGAACAGAACATTGCCAAATTGCCATGAAAATACACACAGAGTTATTATGAATAAATAAATTATTTCACAGCTGACATGAGTTTTTTTTTTTAAAGGATAAATTATATATTATATACCTTACATATGAGAGTCTAACAGAACCTCTGAGGTCAGAGAAAGTAGTTGTCCCTTTTTATAACCAAAAAAGATGAATTAGAGCCATAGAAATACCTGAAGCAGTTAGTGAGAAAGAGGAAAATAGCCCAATAAAAAGTTATAATTCTAGAGAAAAAAGGCATATGGAAAACTAGCCATGCTTCTGTATTGGACCTGGAACGGCTGCTTTTTAGGATCAGCAGATAAAAACTCACTCATTTTTGAAGAGAGACAGAGAAATACTTCAGATTACTAAATTTACCTGGTAAGGATTGATATTTGCCAAGCATCAAGTCCTACATCCTTCACAAAAGACTGATGAATTGCAGTTTTATCCCAGGCTTACACACTGACACCACCGTGCCTCTCCTCTACTGGGCCCACATACCTAAGCCACAGCTGAGCAGCCTGGGGGTTTTTTATCGTCAAATCACAGCTCCCAGCCATGCTTTGTAACAGACGCTTCCCAGTAGCAGCCTAATGCAAACAGATTATTGCAAAGGAGAATCCAAGATCCATTTGAAAACAATCTAACAGGAATCATAGAATCATAGAATCATAGAATCATCTAGGTTG